GATGATGTTATAGATGACATTAAAGTTGTACATAACTTAGCTCATCAGGACAGTTCTCGGCTTGAGACCCTGCCTATCTTTTCCAGTTTGTCGTCCTCACTGCTTTCTGCAGGTCGTTACACTCGACGGTCGGCAAATAATGGATGCCTACTAGTCCCTGCCCAATGTGGGAACTGGAGAATGAAGAAACAAGCGCATATTTGTAGTATCTGCTCTAGATGTACACTAAGCATGTATATTTTACTAACATCAAGCATGTTTATTTAAATAAAACATTTCATCTCTCCCTCATGCTCACATTCACTCCTGTCCAATTTGGAAGGGCTTATGTCTCACATTCCAACTGTTACATCTTCTGCCTTCCTCTACACGTCCTGTAATGATAGTCAAGTCTTCTACGTCAGGTGCCGTCTCTCGTACAGACTCAAAATGACAATCAGTCAGACAGAACCAGTTCTGGAATCTATGCTTGGAACAATCGACGCGCCCAGAATGCTAACAATAGCTTCTGGGGCGAATCAAATAACAAATCTCGTGGATTTACTCTCCGGGATCAATCTCCGCGTTAGCCTCCCGAGAGTTAAACACATTTCAGTGTGTTAGCTGTATGTAATACAGATTCACTTTAACCACACGTGATAAGATTGCCAAAGTTATCTTCACGCTTGTGATTTCAAAAACATGATAGTTCATTAAATTTCAATGGCAACAACAACATTTAGGTTTTACAACATTGAAACACATGTGCCCGAAAAACATTCATGACACTATCAAATAGGAAATAAAGCAATGTGACAGTGCCCTACGAGAATGAAGAAATGTCCGCCTAGGAGTACTACAAAGTGATGAAGACACACACTTGAGCAAAAAGACAGTTAGAACTCTATCATAAAATATAGATGTTAACCTAATTTCGATCTTACCTGGAAAAATGAAACCACGATGCCAAAAGTTCTGTCTCAAGCTTAGGTTAAGCCCAACAGATGGCATGTGCTCGACAGGATCTCATTTACCAGACCTATAGTTCACCCCTTTATAACTTTTATCAAGCTCCTCCTACATTACGCCTAAAATCATTCTCATTAAGGGATGCCACAGCTCCTCCCCTGTGGGTGTATATTCCCTGTCAGTCAGTGACTGTACAACAAGTTTGAATTCCCACGCTAGGATCTCCTGGTTCAATTAAGCTGGTCAAAGCTAATAGGCCAAGTCACACCTCTGGCTACTTCACCTGCCATCACAACAAAATCAGACGGTGTCAATCCTTCTGTTAACACTTTCTGCTCACCATGTCAATAGTGACCGTCGGACCTGCCGTCGAGTTAGGTAACCTCAGGGGGAATTAACCACAATTAGCCGGAGTTAGCTGCTCCTAAAAGTCTGGCTAGGAGATAAAATTTCTGACACCAACAGATGGTGTGCAAATCTCCAGTCAGTAAGTCTGCTTGGTCAGTCTTATCTCTGTACCTTAACACTTAACGTCTGGGAAAAAGTTTTAGTGTGTGATATCGCCAACATCCCAGGAGAATTAAATGCTTGTTCATTTCGCCTACTTAAAATAAAGAATGTATCCAAATCCCTATTTTCCTGTATACTTTCAAAATACAAAGAAATAAAAGTAGGTTAAGGAATAACATTCTGGAGTCACCGAGCGTATTGTCACACTTGTCGGCCGTTACTTGTCGTGGTTTGTATTGTGGGCCTTGCGGTACCGGAAGTCATTGGAGGTGTGTGACTTAAATGTTTTTGTCTGTGTGATGTTCTACTTATAAACTAGACAACTGAGCTGGTTCTGTTCTGTTAAAAGTGTCCTACTGGTTAGAGTACTTGCTAGCAAAGACAGTGGTCGGTGTTCAAATCCACTAATCGCAGGAAAAAGTCTGCAGGAGAATCGGAATAATCTGGTAATCTGGTAATCTTAGTTTCAGCTTCATAGCAAACTGGTCGCCCCATAGTTAATAGCGCTTCCTAATATAAAGTTATGTTAAGTATGCTTGGATAGAGTTAGAAAGTATGTCTGCGTGGAAATATAGAAAGTATCTATTTCTATAGGGGAATCTAACATACATGCAGAATTTCCCTAGTGGACAGACACTTTCTATATATCCATGTAGAAATATACTGTCCCAGTTCTCCTGCCGAATATCCCCTGACGCCGATATGACGTATTAGCCAGCGAATCATGCAAAAAAAAAAAAAAGGAAGAAGCAACCAACCAGCCAAATAGCCAACAAGCCAAATAACCAACCAGCCAAATAGCCAACCAGCCAAACAATCAGTTGCCAACCTTTCGATCAATTAACCAGCTGAGTAACGAACCAGCCAAACAATTAGCTAGCCAGCCAGTCGATCAGCTAACCAGTCAAATAGCCAACCAGCCAAACAATTAGCTAGCCAGCCAGTCGATCAGCTAACCAGTCAAATAGCCAACCAGCCAAACAATCAGCTAGCCAGCCAGTCGATCAGCTAACCAGTCAAAAAGCCAACCAGCCAAACAATCAGCTAGCCAACCTGTCAATTAACCAACTAGTCAAATAACCAACCAGACAAACAATCAGTTGCCAACCTGTCGATCAGCCAACCAGCCAAGTAACCAACCAGCCAAGTAACCAACCAGCCAAGTAACCAACCAGCCAAGTAACTAACCAGCCAAGTAACCAACCAGCCAAGTAACCAACCAGCCAAGTAACCAACCAGCCAAGTAACCAACCAGCCAAGTAACCAACCAGCCAAGTAACCAACCAGCCAAGTAACCAACCAGCCAAGTAACCAACCAGCCAAGTAACCAACCAGCCAAGTAACCAACCAGCCAAGTAACCAACCAGCCAAGTAACCAACCAGCCAAGTAACCAACCAGCCAAGTAACCAACCAGCCAAGTAACCAACCAGCCAAGTAACCAACCAGCCAAGTAACCAACCAGCCAAGTAACCAACCAGCCAAGTAACCAACCAGCCAAGTAACCAACCAGCCAAGTAACCAACCAGCCAAGTAACCAACCAGCCAAGTAACCAACCAGCCAAGTAACCAACCAGCCAAGTAACCAACCAGCCAAGTAACCAACCAGCCAAGTAACCAACCAGCCAAGTAACCAACCAGCCAAGTAACCAACCAGCCAAGTAACCAACCAGCAGAGTAACCAACCAGGTAAGTAACCAACCAGCAGAGTAACCAACCAGCCAAGTAACCAACCAGCAGAGTAACCAACCAGCCAAGTAACCAACCAGCCAAGTAACCAACCAGCCAAGTAACCAACCAGCCAAACAATGAGCTAGCCAGCCTGTCGATCAAACAATCAGTCGAATAACGAACCAGCCAAACAATCAGCTAGCCAACATGTCGACCAACCAACCACAGTCAAATAACCAGGCAACTTGCTAGACAACACTTCAACCAACCAACCTTGCATTATCCGATATATTATGTCTGAGAAAACAGCCATGTTTTAAAGAAGCCAACAAATTATTGTATTATTTATGGGAAATGGATAAAGTCGAATTCTAAATATGACGTTTATCAAGTAATTGAAGCCAGGCAAATGCGTCTCCGAGGCCGCTCCCTGGTGGCCGCCATTCGCATCAATCAGAGAAGAAAACGCAGCTCACAGATCAATATCCCCTGCTAGTGTATCACGTAGCTACAACTCACATGGCCGCTGGATGCAAACATGCAAATTATCGACTCTGGGAGTAGGGGGGTGTACGCCACTGTATCATTATCATTCCACGAATACTAGGGCATGCATCAAACTGGCCGCCAGGGGGCTTATGTATAACACAAAGCTAAGGGGGAAAACTCTGGGTTCAGTCGCTGGTGCATGAGATATTACACTCGCTTGGTGCCTTGGCTGTCAGGTTTACATGACATGGCAGCTGGAAATCGTACAGATTGGTAGCTAGGCCTTCTAAGTCGCTGCTTTGGTAAACTTTCACAATTGGAAAGTTTACCTATAGCGTGGGTTCTGAACCAATGGTGATGAATAAAGACAGCAGAGCACACTGGCTAAAAAGAGTAAAAATACAAAAATAATCAAACATGAGGGGAAACAGTACAAAAAAACACACAGAGAAAACAGAAATACTGAACACTAAAAAAGGGAATGAAAGGGCGCTGAATAAAGAAAGTGGAAGGTCACTGAATAAAGAGAATGGAGGGTCACTGAATAAAGAGAATGGAGGGTCCCTGAATAAAGAGAATGGAGGGTCACTGAATAAAGAGAATGGAGGGTCACTGAATAAAGAGAATGGAGGGTCACTGAATAAAGAGAATGGAGGGTCACTGAATAAAGAGAATGGAGGGTCACTGAATAAAGAGAGTGGAGGGCCACTGAATAAAGAGAGTGGAAGGTCACTGAATAAAGAGAGTGGAAGGTCACTGAATAAAGAGAATAGAAGGTCACTGAATAAAGAGAGTGGAAGGTCACTGAATAAAGAGAGTGGAGGGTCACTGAATACAGAAAGTAGAAGGACGCTGAATGAAGAGAGTTGAAGGTCGATGAATAAAAAGAGTGAAAGGTCACTGAATAAATAGAGTAGAAGGACGCTGAATAAAGAGAATAGAAGGTCACTGAATAAAGAGAATAGAAGGTCACTGAATAAAGAGAGTGGAAGGTCACTGAATAAAGAGAGTGGAAGGTCACTGAATAAAGAGAGTAGAAGGTCACTGAATAAAGAGAGTGGAAGGTCGCTGAATGAATAGAATAGAAGGTCACTGAATGAAGAGATTAGAAGGTCGCTGAATGAAGAGAGTGGAAGGCCGCTGAATGAAGAGAATAGAAGGTCACTGAATAAAGAGAATAGAAGGTCGCTGAATGAAGAGAGTGGAGGGTCACTGAATAAAGAGAGTGGAAGGTCACTGAATAAAGAGAGTGGAAGGTCACTGAATAAAGAGAATAGAAGGTCGCTGAATGAAGAGAGTGGAAGGCCGCTGAATGAAGAGAGTGGAAGGTCGCTGAATGAAGAGAATAGAAGGTCACTGAATTAAGAGAGTGGAAGGTCACTGATTAAAGAGAGTGGAAGGTCACTGAATGACGAGAGTGGAAGGTCAATGAATAAAGAGAGTGGAAGGTCACTGAATAAAGAGAGTGGAAGGTCACTGAATGAATAGAATAGGTCACTGAATGACGAGAGTGGAAGGTCACTGAATAAAGAGAGAGGAAGGTCACTGAATAAAGAGAGTGGAAGGTCACTGAATAAAGAGAGTGGAAGGTCACTGAATAAAGAGAGTGGAAGGTCACTGAATAAAGAGAGTGGAAGGTCACTGAATGACGAGAGTGGAAAGTCACTGAATAAAGAGAGTGGAAGGTCACTGAATAAAGAGAGTGGAAGGTCGCTGAATAAAGAGAGTGGAAGGTCACTGAATAAAGAGAGTAGAAGGTCACTGAATAAAGAGAGTGGAAGGTCGCTGAATGGATAGAATAGAAGGTCACTGAATAAAGAGATTAGAAGGTCGCTGAATGAAGAGAGTGGAAGGCCGCTGAATGAAGAGAATAGAAGGTCACTGAATAAAGAGAATAGAAGGTCGCTGAATGAAGAGAGTGGAGGGTCACTGAATAAAGAGAGTGGAAGGTCACTGAATAAAGAGAATGGAAGGTCACTGAATAAAGAGAATAGAAGGTCGCTGAATGAAGAGAGTGGAAGGCCGCTGAATGAAGAGAATAGAAGGTCACTGAATAAAGAGAATAGAAGGTCGCTTAATGAAGGGAGTGGAAGGCCGCTGAATAAAGAGAGTAAAAGGTCACTGAATGAAGAGACTGGAAGGTCACTGATTGAAGAGAGTGGAAGGTCGCTGAATGAAGAGAATAGAAGGTCACTGAATGAAGAGTGTGGAAGGTCACTGATTGAAGAGAGTGGAAGGTCGCTGAATGAAGAGAATAGAAGGTCACTGAATTAAGAGAGTGGAAGGTCACTGATTAAAGAGAGTGGAAGGTCACTGAATGACAAGAGTGGAAGGTCAATGAATAAAGAGAGTGGAAGGTCACTGAATAAAGAGAGTGGAAGGTCACTGAATGAAAAGAATAGGTCACTGAATGACGAGAGTGGAAGGTCACTGAATAAAGAGAGTGGAAGGTCACTGAATAAAGAGAGTGGAAGGTCACTGAATAAAGAGAGTGGAAGGTCACTGAATAAAGAGAGTGGAAGGTCACTGAATAAAGAGAGTGGAAGGTCACTGAATGACGAGAGTGGAAAGTCACTGAATAAAGAGAGTGGAAGGTCACTGAATAAACAGAGTGGAAGGTCGCTAAATAAAGAGAGTGGAAGGTCACTGAATAAAGAGAGTGGAAGGTCACTGAATAAAGAGAGTGGAAGGTCACTGAATGACGAGAGTGGAAGGTCACTGAATAAAGAGAGTGGAAAGTCACTGAATGAAGAGAGTGGAAGGTCACTGAATGACGAGAGTGGAAGGTCACTGAATAAAGAGAGTGGAAGGTCACTGAATAAAGAGAGTGGAAGGTCGCTGAATGAATAGAATAGAAGGTCACTGAATAAAGAGATTAGAAGGTCGCTGAATGAAGAGAGTGGAAGGTTGCTGAATGAAGAGAATAGAAGGTCACTGAAAAAGAGAATAGAAGGTCGCTGAATGAAGAGAGTGAAAGGTCACTGAATGAAGAGAGTGGAAGGTCGCTGAATGATGAGAATAGAAGGTCACTGAATGAAGAGAGTGGAAGGTCACTGATTGAAGAGAGTGGAAGGTCACTGAATGACGAGAGTGGAAGGTCGCTGAATGAAGAGAGTGGAAGGTCAGTGAATGAAAAGAGTGGAAGGTCACTGCATGAAGAGAGTGAAAGGTCACTGAATGAAAAGAGTGAAAGGTCACTGAATGAAGAGAGTGGAAGGTCGCTGAATGAAGAGAGTGGAAGGTCGCTGAATGAAGAGAGTGGAAGGTCGCTGAATGGAAAGAGTGGAAGGTCACTGAATAAAGAGAGTAGAAGGTCACTGAATGAAGAGAGTGGAAGGTCGCTGAATGAAAAGAGTAGAAGGTCGCTGAATGAAGAGAGTGGAAGGTCGCTGAATGAAGAAAGTGAAAGGCCACTGAATGAAGAAAGTGGAAGGTCACTGATTGAAGAGAGTGGAAGGTCACTGAATGAAGATAGTGGAAGGTCACTGAATGAAAAGAGTGGAAGGTCACTGAATGAAGAGAGTGAAAGGTCACTGAATGAATAGAGTGAAAGGCCACTGAATGAAGACAGTGTAAGGTCACTGAATGAAAAGAGTGGAAGGTCACTGAATGAAGAGAGTGGAAGGTCACTGGATGAAGACAGTGTAAGGTCACTGAATGAAAAGAGTGGGCTCACTTTTCGCCATGCAATTCTTCTTGCTCACTGAGTCACTTCTTGGTCACTGAGTCACTTCTTGGTTACTGAGTCCCTTCTTGGTCACTGAGTCACTTCTTGGTCACTGAGTCACTTCTTGGTTACTGAGTCACTTCTTGCTCACTGAGTCACTTCTTGGTCACTGAGTCACTTCTTGGTCACTGAGTCACTTCTTGGTCACTGAGTCACTTCTTGGTCACTGAGTCACTTCTTGGTCACCGAGTCACTTCTTGCTCACTGAGTCATTTCTTGGTCACTGAGTCACTTCTTGGTCACCGAGTCACTTCTTGGTCACTAAGTCACTTCTTGCTCACTGAGTCACTTCTTGGTCACTGAGTCACTTCTTGGTCACTGAAGCAATTCTTCATCACTGAGTCACTTCTTGTTCACTGAGTAACTTCTTGGTCACTGAGTCACTTCTTGGTCACTGAGTCACTTCTTGGTCACTGAGTCACTTCTTGGTCACTGAGTCACTTCTTGGTCACTGAGTCACTTCTTGGTCACTGAGTCACTTCTTGCTCACCGAGTCACTTCTTGCTCACCGAGTCACTTCTTGCTCACCGAGTCACTTCTTGGTCACTGAGTCACTTCTTGGTCACTGAGTCACTTCTTGGTCACTGAAGCACTTCTTCATCACTGAGTCACTTCTTGTTCACTGAGTCACTTCTTGGTCACTGAGTCACTTCTTGGTCACCGAGTCACTTCTTGCTCACTGAGTCACTTCTTGGTCACTGAGTCACTTCTTGGTCACTGAGTCACTTCTTGGTCACTGAGTCACTTCTTGCTCACTGAGTCACTTCTTGCTCACCGAGTCACTTCTTGGTCACTGAGTCACTTCTTGGTCACTGAAGCACTTCTTCATCACTTCTTCTTTTTTCTTCTTCGCGTTCACCAGCTGTAAACTCTGGCGGAAGGTTCTGGTTGCTCGTCCACTACTGAACTGCAGTCCTGCTCCAGAAGCTGAGTGTTGCGTGTGCATCAGTTTTACAGATCTCATTCTCTTGAATACAGACTGTTGGTTCCTTGCCTCTCCGGCAGATGCACTCGGACTTCAAAGGAAGCTCCCCAATTAGTCGACTCTTACGACATGCTTTTGGGGAGGCAGTGGGTCTATTCTTGTTTTCCCCACAATGGGGCCCCGGAAACCACACGGGGGTTCTTCATCACTGAGTCACTTCTTGTTCACTGAGTCACTTCTTGGTCACTGAGTCACTTCTTGGTCACCGAGTCACTTCTTGGTCACTGAGTCACTTCTTGCTCACTGAGTCACTTCTTGGTCACTGAGTCACTTCTTGGTCACTGAGTCACTTCTTGGTCACCGAGTCACTTCTTGCTCACTCAGTCATTTCTTGGTCAATGAGTCACTTCTTGGTCACTAAGTCACTTCTTGCTCATTGAGTCACTTCTTGGTCACTGAGTCACTTCTTGGTCACCGAGTCACTTCTTGGTCACCGAGTCACTTCTTGCTCACCGAGTCACTTCTTGCTCACTGAGTCACTTCTTGGTCACTGAGTCACTTCTTGGTCACCGAGTCACTTCTTGCTCACTGAGTCACTTCTTGGTCACTGAGTCACTTCTTGGTCACTGAGTCACTTCTTGGTCACCGAGTCACTTCTTGGTTACCGAGTCACTTCTTGCTCACCGAGTCACTTCTTGGTCACTGAGTCACTTCTTGGTCATTGAGTCACTTCTTGGTCACTGAGTCACTTCTTGGTCACTGAGTCACTTCCTGCTCATGTAATCACGGATAAAAACTACGCTGGAAAGGTTCGGTTGTATCTGTCTGCGAGAAGTTGCTTCCAGTGTTGCCACTTTGGATGTTTTACATCCAGATTTAGATGTTTTCTCTTGCTTTTAGATGGCGTTTTTGACGTTTAGATGGTAGATGTTTTTCTAGACGTTTTTCATTTGGAGTGAATTTATCAAACCTAACCTAAGAAACAGGATAAATTTGACCTCTTAAATGCTATCTTGGCAACAAAATTTTGCCTGATAAGTGTAGGAAAAGGCTGTTCCACTTATCAGCTTCCTGATTGGGTATAAAAAGAAACTAGAACAGCTAAAGCATACCAGACTCATTTTGGATCTGAAGCTTCAACTTCATCATCCAAGCTAAGTTTATCTGTGGATCTTGTAATGCAGACCAGTAAAGGTGAGGACATGGTTCTATAGGGTAAGTCATATCAATTGCTATATAATTTGTGACTCTTTCCATTTGGATGTTTTTTCTAGATGTTTTCCACGCAAATTTAGATGTTTTTAGATATTTTTTTACTCCGCTTTTGATGTTTTTTGTCAAAGAAAAGTGGCAACACTGGTTGCTTCCCGTCGACCACGCTTTCCTTCCTCGCTGACCTACCAAACAAATGTATTTCTAGTATAAGTGACCGAGATGGGGTTGTCTGTCAAACGAACCAAACAAGTTGCAGAATGTGCCAGAAAGGCCACACACTGTTCTTTCTGGCAACTGGTTTAGAGGGACACTGAAATACACACCTGCAACCCTGCAGACTGATAAAGGACGACCATTGCAGTTCTAATGCTGACTAGTCCTGTGTGAGGTTTACCGAAACATCCGCTATTTAAATTCTCTATTCTTCCCTATAACTCATCTGAAAAGCTTTTTTGTTTTAAAATAAAATTTTCTCAGACCGTAAACTGGAGTAAGGAAGTGAAACATGGAGAGTCAGAAAGAATAGTGATCAATAAATTATGCCCAAGTTGCTATTTGTGGAAGAATGACACGGAGATTTGAAAAAGCTTAATGAAAAAGCCACGAAACAGAGTTTCACAAAGAGAACTGGATATTGGCGTCATACGTGGACAATTCATTCTTTGAGCAAATCATGAGAACGGTACAACTAGACTATACGGTAACTTCAGAAACTTGGAGGAAGAAAGAGGCAGACGGAGATCATGAGAGCGGTATGTTCGGTAGCTAAACATCATGCTATGGTTGAACATCTGTAGTACAAGTGATTTATTTATACAGGAAACGAGACAGAAGTCTGTAGTTCACATTCTGAACCACAACAGGTTGTAGGATACTCCAGGCTGCTGTAGTCGGTGTCGGCGTTCCTGTAATAATTTATCTGGAGGTTGAACGGGATACATGTGATATGCCCTGTTGGCTTCTGATCCAGGTTTAGATTTTATAACTCCATGTTGGCCAAATCTTGATGCAGCAGGTCGGAAGGGACCGCGGAATGGAAGAGACATTAAAGAGACAATTCACAACGCCTTATGACATGACCTATAACAAGTGACTACCCAACTGTCTGTCTGCATCTTTTCCTGGCGCATTGAACGTCAGTCACGAACATAGGAGAACAATATAGTGCGCAATTTATTGCCGGATTTGTCAAAGAGTATTTGGTCAGGCGTAGTTTATTGCCGGGCTGGTCAAAGAGTATCTGTTTAGGTGCAGTAACAACTGAATATAATAAAGCAACTAAATGAATACTTCTTAATAAAATATGAAGTCAACAACATTCACAAGTAACTGTCTGTTTTACCATGAATTAAAAGGCGCGGGATGG